CACGGACGTCCGACAACAACGGCCGACACAACTTACACTGCTGCTGCTAACAGTCATTCAAGCGAGGGCGGGGCACGCGCAGACCCTCTTGGCTGCCCAGGTGGCTGCCGGCGCCCTGCCGTCCGACGTCGCCGGCCGGCTCCCGGGGGCAGACCGCGCCCTTCTAAGGAAGGCGGGAATGGACCCGCGCAATCCCTCGCAGGTAGGGCATGTGGTGGGGCAAGAAAGAGGCTAGGCCACTGTGAGGGGGGGGGGGAGAGAGAGAGAGAGAGAGAGAGAGAGAGAGAGAGAGAGCGATAGAGATAGAAGACGGAATGGACCCGAGCGAACAGGTGGAGTTAGGGTAGGTTAGACTTAGGTCAGGGTGAAGGTGGGGGAGGGAACGGACGGGACTACATAGCAATCCCCTGTGCGTTGCGCCGCGCCGTCTCGCGGCGCCGTATGTCTTATGATCTCTTGCCGACTTCGTGCTCGACATGTTCTGGTCGTGCCGTTGTTGTTGTTGTTGCTGCTGTCTGTTTTGAAAAAAGGTCGATCTCGAGTTCCAGAACACGCAGCGGCAGTACCTCGCCGTCCAGGGGCACCGTGGGGCTAACGGCGAGTACCCCAACACGGATCATCAGTACCCGCCGAACGCATATCATCAGTACCCCAACACGGATCATCAGTACCCGCCGAGCACGGATCATCAGTACCCCAACACGGATCATCAGTACCCCAACACTGATCATCAGTACCCGAACACATATCATCAGTACCCGAGCACGGACCATCAGTACCCGAACACTGACCATCATTACCCCAACACGGATCATCAGTACCCTAACGCGGATCATCAGTACCCCAACACGGATCATCAGTACCTGCCGAACACTGATCATCAGTACCCCAAGATGGGTCATCAAAATCCAAGCGCAGGTCACCGGCACACGCGCCTAACCGAAGACCCCGGCGACCGACACGCGAGCACCGACGCACCATCACTCCACAGCACGCATGGCGGAGGAAGACAAAGCTATCCCGCCCAACCTCTTGGCGTCAGCTCAAGCACGCCTCCTGGCAGCAGCGTCGCCAAGCGTCAGAGTTTCGAGCGACTGCCGCCCGCGGGGGAGGCGGCGGCGGGCGTAGGAGGCGGGGCGGCAGCAGGGGGGGCTGGTGCCGGCGGATCGCTGTCGCTGCTTGGCGGCTACGGATCGGGCGAATCGGACTGAATTTTTGGTTGCTTGTGGCGTGTGTTAAAGGGTGTCGTTGTTGTTTTTCCGAGGAAGCTGATGCGTGTGCGGTTGGGCTGTTGGGGTCATCTCTGTCGATAGGAGTTCGAGCCGGCGTTTTTGCGCTGCCCACGCGTGAACGAAGTATGTGCCTGCGACTGTGAATTAAACTTGAAGCAGCGTATTGTAGCTGCTCAGTCTTCCTGTAAAGGTCCCAAGGAAATCATTTTTATCATCCTTTGTCGTAAGATGTGCTGCAAGTATGGCATTCGAGCTATAGGCTAAGTTAACTTCATTTCGAAGCTTAAAATAACGCATTCTTTTTTGCGTTTCGTAACCGCAGTAAGACGGCCGGTTTTTCGTCATATTAACCTGGACTTCTTTCCCCGATGAAATAGGGACTCGATGTCGGGTGCCGAACTGATACGCTCTCTACCGGGCTCCGCTTTCCATGGGGAGAGACCGAAACTGAACCCTGTTGCTGGCATGAGCTACCCTTGACAACGCGCCCGGAGTTCATAGCCTCCTGGAAAGGCGTGGAACGTTTGGTACGCGGGGTCGCGATCGCGACCAAAGGATCAAGAGACCAGTGCAGCACCGTGGAGGCGCAGCTAAAACGGTGCAATGCTTGGGCGAAGATGCCGCTCCGCCTGAGAGGCCCGCGCCACTCAAGGAGCAGAGTTTTCTTCGAAATAGTGATTCAGGAGCAACCAGACACAGCCGTGGCCGAAACGGCCACGCCATGCACCGCTTTTTTGGCCAATCAGAAAACTGCGAGCCACGCTCAGTGAAATGATCAGACGTACTATTTAGCCGTCACAAATATTTTCAATGCCTCGCCTACACCCAAATCGCCGTTTGTTGAACGGACATACACGCCGATGGCCGAGAATCCAATACTGTTCAGTGAGAGTACAAGAGCAGGCTGGCACATCGCCTAAACACCACCCACGTAAACACACAGAAATAGCGTGGAGAGCACATCTACTGGACACCGCACGCCAATCAACGCAAACGTCACGGATATCAACCTCTGCAGCGCGGGGACACCGAGGATTGATTCTGCGAGAGAGCTGTTCACCTCGCCAGGCCTCAAAGCGGGCCTACCAAACCATCTAGCTACACCACGGAGACCGAACTCGCAGACCCGGAACCACCCCTGCCCCGACAGCCAACAGCCCCCAAGAAACGCACATGAAAAACAAAAACGAAACTGACACCGCCGCTCGAAACACTAGAGGAGTTGTTGTCAGCAAATATCTCGCAAATACTGTATGTAGTACCATAAACCACTTTGATTTGATTCAAAATCCGTCTTCGCCGTTTAATTGCCCAGTTCCGTCGAGCACCCGTATCGGTCCAACTGACGCGGACACACACCTCCCGTGGTCACAACCAACCACTCAAAAGGGCGCACCAACAAGTAAAGAGACTAGATACAAGGATCCAGAAAATCCATGGCAACAACCACGGAAAAAAAAAAAACTCCCAGACATCCGACGTCGGCTGGCTACACATCGGGCAACGGAGACAAAATAAAAAATTCCCATCGTATATGCTGGGAAATGAAAGTAAAAAACCGTATCCCGCAACGGCTAAGCGGTAAGTCAACAACATCGCCTCGGGGAGGCTTGGAAGTATGCCATCTCTGACACACAGAGAGCTGAACTACGGTATAAAAGCGGGACTCAAACCCGAAGGTAAAACGGAACACCACTCCGTACGTAACTCTCGAGAGTGAATTCACTGATTCTCCACAAAAGTAGAGGCAAAACCCGCATGCCTCTAGCTTCTTAAACTATATCTACTGTTTGTGTGTTTCTCCCCAAGCCCCCCATGTCTGCCGAACCCAACCCTTTCATTCCTCCATCGACTGCGTGGCCTGCTGTACAATAAATGGCTTACACGGTCGTGCATGGAGCAGATGGTGAAGACGTTGAACATACAACCGCCGCCCAAAAAAACAGCAAGAAGACACGTAAAGGGAAACGACCACCACACGGACCGCGTCATCATTGATGGCGTAGTTGCAAGACCGCTGTCGTCGCGTCAATCTACCGTGTCATACGCGAACGGCGCGTACACCCCCTGGACGAAGAACAGGGCGCACGCGGGCCCGCAGATCACAACGGTTGCGCCCCACCCGACGACGATCTTGAACAACATCGGGAAATTGAGCCCGAGTTTACCCTGTCAATCAAGCGATAAGGCGGGGAGAGTTGACAGGAGACGAAAAAGGGGTGGTGCGGAATTGTTTCTAGGTGTTGCACTGTGGGGAATTCGATCCCTGACCCACATCGGGAGGGATAGGTTCATTTCTTCGTTTTCCACGTTTTCTAACTGGTACCATTTTGATCGCTTCCCCGCCCATTGGTAAGGAGGTAGGGGAGGGAAATAGCGGCGACGATCAAGAGGAGGAGAGCCGTTGATCGTTGTTCCTGCAACCCTTATACCGGACGAGTCCCCTTTCGAACGAGGGGAGTGGTGGTTTGGTGTGGGGAAAGCCCCCCCCGTCCATGGTCTAACGACAACAACGGCATGCGGTTACATGATTATGATTACCCCCCCTCTCCGACGGTGTTTCGATTCGCGTTCGTGGTGTTGTTTCGTTCTCTCCTATTTGAAAGTGGGCGTACGCCTAAAAGTGTACAGGCACCGAACATCCGCGATCCCCCTCGTTGGTTGCATCTTCATCGACAGCTCGTCGCATGTACTGTATGCAGATCTCGTTCGCGACGAAGGGCCCTCGCCTGCCGGTCTTGTCGACAGTTACGCGTATAGTATGAACGATGCCCAACAACAGCTATCAATCTTTGGCGGCTTTTCACCTAAGATGGACCTTGTGGTGGTGTTGGAAGCCAACCCTGGTGCTGTGGGAGGCCAACCCTAAGCGACAATATGTTCGCGATCGCGTAGCATCTCACGTGCGTGTGACACCGCAGACACCGCTTCATCGCCACCAACAGCTAGCAACGTGGAAGCCATATGGCGCCGAGAGCACTACGACAGCCAACAATAGACCACAGAACTATCGACTTGGCTAATGCTTGAGACTACAATCAGCACTAACTTTCGAGGTGGTCAAATGGACTACACTTAAGTCGATCAAACGTAAGGCTGATTCATTATTGACTACTACGACGGTCAGCCGAAGGAGCTTCAGTCAGTCTAATGGACTAGCCTCAAATCGATCACGCGGCACCGCAACCACCGACACCTACATACCCTCCCTCACCTCTAGCAGGGCGACCCCCACGGTGGCCCCAACCTTCGTCCTAGTGCACGTGATCATGACCAAGACCGCTCCGAGCTCGATGCTGAAGCCGCGGGAAGGGGTGATCTTGGCGATCCTGGCCCCGATGGTGGTCATGACCTTGTGGCCGTACGTCCACAGGCCGACGACCATGCCCACGGCCGCCACGAACAGAATGCTGGTGGGAACGGTTTCGCCGTGATGGGATACCGGCGCAACGGAATACCGACGGAGTAACGGCGGAACGGAATAGTAGTCGTGACGGAATATCGGCGGTGGCGCAGACACGAACAGAGTACTGGTGGGAACGTATCGCGCCGGGACGGAACACCGGCGAGGCGGAATAGTCGTTTTCGGAATAGCGGCGGTGGTGCAGAACAGCACGGTTGGCGCGCAGGTCAAGGATGCACGACTTGAGACAGGCGCATGGCGAGCAGTGGCGTGGGAAGAAGAAGCGACGAAGAGGCGACGGTGTCTACGTCGTCACCATCTCGAATCAAACCCAAAAACGACACGTGCCGTACGGTAACGCGGAATGGCCGGCCCAAAGAGAGCAGCAACGCCGACAGAACACCGAGAGCTTGGGTTCAGCAAAGGAATAAGCAGTAACGCCACCAATGCACGCAGGACCTCTACCATAATGAAGGCGTAGTCGTCAACATGCCGCGGAGCTCCGCAAGGAATCGCGCTCATCGTCCTGCAGTCCGCGATCAGCTCTTTTCTACCTTGGCTGCCTTCTGAATATTAGATCTCAAATTGGTGTTCTTGCGAGAGCAGCTTGCGTGCATTCTCCTCCATAGGTCGGAGATCTAAAAAACAAATTATCTCGAGAGCGGCTTACATTAATTACATTTTCTATCGGTCGGCGCTCTCAAAATGGTTTTATTGCGAGAGCGGCTTACATGCATTCCATCGTGTCCTTGGTGGGCGTGCCTTCGACCGGAACTCCGCCGTGAAGGTAGACCATGTAGATCACATCGATGGGACCTGTAACGTTGGCCACGCTGAAAGCGCCGTGCGCGAAAGCATCGCACATCGCGGATACTACCTGCACGCCCTTGAACACCTCTGGCGACCAAGTGGGCGCAAAAAGGGGAAGGTTGGGGGATGCAGAGAGGAAGGTGGGTGGGGTGATGCAACCAAACAAAACCACAGCCTAAAACGAGATGGACGGAAATGCGATTGCAACATGTAGAAATCCCTCCGCATCAGGAGCGGTGCTCCCAGCTTCCATCGGCATATTGGACCGAGCACACTATCTTGCAGATCGCCTTGTACATGTTGCGGAGCCCGTCGATGCAACGCTTCCACAGCTAGTCCCGGGGTTGAACGTGCTGGAGTCGTGCATGTAGGATCCATATGTTGCGGCCCAAGAACTGAACATTTTGAAATACCCAAACCAAAGACAAACCACACCCAATTCACATACATATTTTGCGCATCAGCTCTGACTACAGGTACGTACGTACGTACACTCACATGCTGTATAGGGCCCAGAGTTTGTTTGTTGGGCACTCTAAACCAGCGCTCAAAGCACTTAGGCTGATATTCTTGCTATCTCGTTCAAGAATTTCACAGAGGCCGGCGGAGATGTTACTCTAGTCTTGGGACGAGCGTGTACTGCGCCGGTTCGGCTGAACAACGGGGAGCCAACGGGTGCAGCAAGTACCAACAAAGGTGTTGTTTTCGTGTGTTCGTAGCGTGCTGAATGACGACTTCTTCTTAGAATGGTGTGTGTTTCGTTTCATACACTAGAAAACCTAACCGCAGGCGGAGAACTACAGGGGCTACCGACCGCCGCAGGAGGTCTCCAAGTGATTCTCTCCTAGGGAGAGCTTTCCTTAGCAGTCTGAGTGTATGGCCATGCGTTCAAAGAATGTACCTTCTTTGGCTTATTTTTGGGTAGAGAAGGGCAAAGAGCAACAAAACAAATTTCTCACAACTCATCCATAGACTAAAATACGGAATGTGGATATTATGCATTCTACGTTACAACCTTTAAAATAGCATCTGCGTGGTTTGGAGTGATGGATGACAAGCAACGAAAGCACGGCGAGACGCACCTTCGACTCGGGGATCGAACTTCTCGACGTTGGTGTGCATCTGGACAATCGTGTTCGAGGCAACCACGGGGGCGCGGATCTCAGGGTCCCGCGTTCCGCCGACACTCGCGAAGGAGTGTCGGCTGCCGCCGCCGATCTCCAGATCATCAGCTTTCATCTCCTCCTGAAAAACAAAATGAGGCCACAAGAGAGATCGTCCCGTGGGTGCCATGCGGACGGGTAGTGAGCGAAAAGAAAACAATAGCAAACCGATTCGTAAGTTTACGCTGTAGAAGCCGAAGTTAACGAGCCAGCCGCTGACCAAATAGTCGAACGTGTCTGATTTCGGTTTCCATGACGCATCGATCGCTTTGGATCACGTTTCGGCCATGTCTTCTTCGAACGATAACGATAACAGCGGGTTCGAACGAATACGCACAGACCACACCCAGAACGGCTGCACTACCGTACCGCCACCACGATGGCAGTAATTTTTCTCACCGGGTACACCCTCTTCCTCGTGCCGTCCGGGTTGTAGATCCTGAGCACGGCGT